ATATATATATATTATATATATATATATATATATATAGCATGCATTTTTGCCATTACTTGTTTCAGGATGAAAATACGAGAAGATCAGGGATGATAATTTGGGGAAATAAATAAATAAATAACATAAAAATAAAACACGAGAAACGTGCAAAAGTTTCCTCGCGGTGTTGCACCTACCGACCACCGTCAGCAGCATGTTGTCCAGGAGCAAAGCGACGAATACAATGAAGAGAATCAGTTTCCTGGACTGTCGCTCCTCTCGCAGCCATTTGATGAGCGTGAACTGACGGAGCGCGTCCAGACCCCCCATGGTGCCTCAGACCCCGGCGGAGCAGGCGGCAGGACTCTAACTCTGCCTCAACAGGGGGATGATGGAAAAAGTTTAAGCGAAAAGGAAGAGACAGTGTTGGGTCGGAATGAAACTGTGAGCCTGCAGAGGAAACTCCTGTCCTGTCCTACCTCAGGGGAGCAGCGCGGATGGATGGAGGAGGAGATGAAGTGTTTTTACTGACTGGAGCTGCTGCTGCTGACGTCACTCCCCCCCCCCTCCACCCCGTCCCTCCACCCTCTAATGTTTACGTCCCCGTCAAGAGAGATGCTGCAGCAGCACCAGCAGCAGCTGCTGCAGCCCGGGATGACAGGAGACGAGAGAGCTGCTGTTTCCTCAGCCATCTTCAGGTCAAATGACCTGGAATAGAAATTTACCCCATGGAAAAAAACAAACAAACAATTAAATCAATAAAAATAAGAAAAATGACACAAACGGAATAGAATTTAAAATTTGATCTGAAGAGAAACTCAGCAGAATCCAGCTGCTTCTGAGAAAAGTCACATGAGACATCTTAGATCTGAGATCTTAAACATTGTTGCAACATAAAACATTTTCTGGGCACCAGAAGTAGCAGAGATGCTAAAGGAAAAGTTTTCTTTTTTCTTTTTTTAACATGGTTTACACTAAAAGTAGATGTGATGTAGCAGATAGAGGTCTGTGTGTGTGTGTGTGTGTGTGTGTGTGTGTGTGTGTGTGTGTGTGTGTGTGTGTGTGTGTGTGTGTGTGTGTGTGTGTGTGATACCTGGAAGTCTTCTATAACAAACCAATTCTGATAAATATATATATATATATATATTTTTATTTTTCTGGTGCTCTCATTATCATTGAATATTTTTGGTTTGAGTTCAGTCAGAAGATAATAATGTTGATCAAACGACAGTTCTTTTTTATTAACTGAGTACAATATAAATAATCAAAGTTTAGTAATTTGCTGGAAGCTAAAGTATTGATCAGTTAGTATTAATAGTATTGCTATTTACATTAAAGTGTCCAGACCTGATGTGACGACTCAACGTTTTGTTGGGGACATTGTTTGTCATTAAGACAGAAGATGACCATATAGCCTGTTAGTTTCATGACACTTTTATGAACAAATGAACTTTCTGACCTTGATGAAAAGAAATGGTGTGTTGGCACATTGTTGTTCCGATGGTATGGAACAACATCCCTCCTGGCCTCGCCATGTTTAGTGCATTTGGGATTCATTGTTTGCTATGTTGTAGCTTTTTTCATCAACCAGACGCAAAAGGTTGGCCAGGCTCCAAACAGGTCAACGACCCCTTAATTCATGTCCAAACATTTGTAACGCCCCTCAGTCACATTTTACAGACAGGATGACATTCACTCACAAACTGCTGCAACCTTCAAATCTCTGAAATATCGGGTTTAAAAAAAACGTCAGCAATTATCTGCAACCTGGAGATATTTCAATCCAAAGACATCTGCTGCTTTTGGGAAAAAACAAAACAAAAACAACAAAAAAAAAAAACAAAATAAACAAAAAATTTTTTTGTGTTTGATTATAATGTTAATTTAGAGACTTAACAGTCATATCTATTAAATTATGCAAAAGTACCTTTTGAAAATCAGAACCTTTAAGTATACAAAATTTTCCACTGAGCCTAGATTTATGTTTATTTAGTTAAATTGGTCCATTGTAATAACCTAATCTTTAATGCTTTGTTGTAATTACTAAAATAAATTAACTTTTCAATAACATTCCTTAAGACGCACCTGTAAAAAAATAAAAAAATTGATATCACCTAACACTAAAGGTTTGGCTGAGACATTTATCGATTTATTTATTTATTTATTTTCTGTTTTTTTGCAGAAAACGAAACAGAAGGAGCGCAGTAACGGACAGGGCGACCTGTCCAGGTCGTTCCCTGCCTGTAGTACAATGGCTGCTGGACACAGACACCACTGCACTCGCCACCCTGCAAGGATGAGTGTCAGACAGTGAATGGGCAGATCAGACAAACATTGACTTTCCCTGTTTTCTTTGGCATTCACATATTTTAATTCAAACCGGCAGTAAAAATGTTCTATTAGAGTTCATGTAATAGATCTCTTCAGAAAAAAAATCCTACTAGAGTGAAAGTTGGCTTTGTAGACTTTACACTCTTCACTACAGCTTGACAACAGCGCCATCTGGTGCTGCTGCTGTGAACACAACACACGGGCCTTCATCCTGTGCTTTAGTTACTCTGTCTAGTTGAACTGAACTGGGTGAAATGATGGTTCACTCTTAGAACATCTACAGAGTTTTGGACATGCTGATGACGTAGTTGGATCGTCTGAATCAACTGGAGCGGAGATGCATCTAAAACTGACAGGTTTTAAACAAGCAGCCAGCTTATTGGACGGAACGTCATTCACAATATATCTGATATTTCATTTTCAGGGGATTATGGCTTGGATTATTGTCAACTTGAGGAATTTTCAGCCGCACACGTGACCTTTAACGTGACCTTTTTTGCTCTACAATAGACGTGCGCCCCACTGTGACTGTCCTTTTATATTTTAACTTATAATACATGTTTTCATTATGCTAATTTTCCTCAGACCATTTTTCTAGTTTCTCTATTAATGGTCACAATATGGTAAAGAAATGAAGGATGAAGAATGCCTTCAGGTGACTTTTGTTGTGAATTTGTGATAAGTAAATCAAATTGAATTAAATTATCAAGTGTAGCTGGATGTGGGAAGGTTTTTCTTTTTCTTGTTTTAGGTGATAAGTCAGTCTGAAGTGTGCAGAGTGAAATGAAGTTGTGATAGTTCACTTCCCAGTAGTACTTCTGCATTCTTATCACACATCTCTGATATTGTTCCTCATGTATTTTACTCTTCTGCTACTTCCTGTTTGGCTCCTTTCTGACTTTGAGCTGCTACTGTACATTCCACAACTTCCTGTGTACCTCCCTAAAGATTCTTTATTTTCTTTCTCTCCTGCTTAAAGGTTCCTTCGGCTCACCGGTGATCCAGGGTTTGTCTTTCGGGAAGCATCTCACTGTGGCGAGTGTCAGTCACACACTCAGTCGTGTCATGAATGTCCCTCTGGTTTGGCTGGCACAGAGCATCGCAGTCACAAAATGGCCCTGCTTCCTGTGTTAAAATCAAACCATGTGATACTTGGACAATTAGTTTCACAGATTTATTCACACCCTCTGCTTCTCATCTTCAAATTGGCTGTGCACTAAAATGACCGAATGAGACTTTGCCTTGATACAGAAGAATCTCCCCACGTCCAAGAAACACACGACAGAGAACCTGAGAGCGGGATCATCCAAAATAACAATGTTATTTTGGACTGAACTTGGCTGATGGTGTTTGTGACATTTCTAATTTTTATATCTGACAGTTTTCTGCTCTGGTTTCTACAGATTAATTTTTATCATTTCTACCTGGAGTTCGATTTAAAGCCTGCAGGGGGCAGCAGGGCGTCCTGTCGGATTCTCTGCCACCATCAGTTCCCAACAAAAGAAAAAAAATGCTCTGTTTAAGCTCTGAAGTATTTATTCAAAAGGTTTTCTATTAAGAATTAAGCTGTTATTCTTGATGTTTCTCATGACTTCTTTTAGTCATATTCCTACAAAAAGAGACTGCTGCTGGTGAATTCACTGTCCCTCCATGTGGGCCTGTTTACTTCCAGGTGTTTTATGAGTATTTAAATGTGTTTCACGTGTGGCTGTCTGCTACATGTTTAAAAATGTTAAACTCAAATAATAATCTATGCACAGCCGACCTCTTGGCATGAGGAGAAGTCAGTCATAGACTCAGGTTTTCAAGTTTAGGGTAGTAAGCCTTTAATTACAAAGAACAAATACAACAATCAAAATGCAAATAATTCTCAATCAATTCCAAGCAAAGAAAATATATGGACAATTTTCTTCTGCATATTCTGCAGTAAATCTTCTGGATACAAAACTCTCATGCAATACTCAAAAATAAAACTGTCAAATCATTTTCTTGCAGGATAATCCAGATGAGCAGTATTTATAGGGGCTGTGTTGTGTAAAAATGGTCTTCTTTTAGCTTTACATCATGTTATTCCCTCATCAAAAACATACCTGGGAGTATCAACATGATTCTCTCATCCATGTAGGAGAGATCTTTTGACACGCTCAGGAGGAGGGCGGCAAATATCATGGTCGGACAGTGAGGGAGTTGACCCATTATACCATCAGAAACCGCGACAAGAACTCCATCTCTTAAGACCACAGGAGGGGTCATCATCTTCTCCTGCCTTCTATGATGAAGGCAGACGAGCTGTGAGCTGGGAACCTCTGAGCTTATGGAGGCAGCTCAGAAACTTCTGCCTCATAAAGCACCCCTCTCGTCTATTCAGCTCCTTCAGACTAGCCTGCAGCAATTAGCAAATACCAGGAGGAACTGTGCATGTGCTGAGCTCTTTGTTGGGGCTATACCTCTGTGAAATGCTGGTTGTTGAAGGGTTAATAGGGCAGCAACGTTGTGGTGACTTCATGAAGGAGCAGAATGTTTTAAAGAGACAGATGCCTTCTCAGTTCCAAGGCATTAAACTAAGAAGTCAATTTTCTGTTTTGTCACACATAATATATATATATATATATATATATATATATATATATATATATATATATATACACACACACACACACACACACACAAACATTATTATAACAAATGAAGGTAACAGTTACTTGATTGTGTGGAAAACTAAGTAACTGGAAAACATGTTTGAAAACAAATCATTTAAATCATGACAGCTGAATAAAGTGTTTGCCACATGCATGACTTCATAATTACCCATGCTTATGAAAAACAGACACAATAAATAATTGATTAAATCCAGGAAATACAAAATTCCACAATCCCAAAACCTGATTCAGAAGATCTTGACTTACTTCTTTTCCACATTTTCTGTAGTTTCAGCATTTGGCTGGCCAATGAACCGGATGCACTTACAATAAAAAGAAACTATTCTATCTTGGCTCAGCTTGAAAGCCATAGACATAATGCTCATGCCAACAACAATAAAAAGGGAGGTTATCCAGAAATAGGTGGAGTTTTCAGGTATGATGTCACCAAATCCAATTGTAGTGAGTGTGATGAAGCAAAAGTAGAACGAGTCAAATCCTTTAATTTTATTTTCCCACAGTGGTAGGATTATACCGCCCAAGCAAATATATGCAAATACAATGAAAAGGATGAGTATAAGTGGAACGTCAAAGTCTTCCATTACATTCCCTAACCCTGAGAAATCCCATATAGCAAATCCACTAGGTGGTTGTGGCATCTGTTCAAGTTCAGGGCAGGAGAGGGACCTGAGTAATGGATCCGTTCTCATTAAATTATCTCTCACCAGCAGCCTTTCAAAGATATCTTTGTTTCTTTGGAGATGAATGGACTTGTGTCGAACATCTGCTTGACTTTTGAGCACCTGCCGGATATCCAGAGGTTGACCAATCACCCCGTCGTCCAGAGTGCGCCGGTGTGACCAGGGTCTCCTCCTGCGAATCATCCACCGTGACCACGTCTTGAAGAGGGCGCGGCCGCGATTGTAGGATTTGGTCATCACCAGAGCGAGAAAGTCTCCCACGTCGAGAATGACCAGAAGCATGAGAGGAATCCCCACCATCGCATAAACGATGCACAGCGCTTTACCAAGCAAGGTGACCGGAAAGATTTCCCCATATCCTACAATCACAGTGGAGCAATTGACTCAATATCAACATGGTGGACAAAACCTGCTTAAATTCCTGTATGGTGTCTTGTGTCTTGTAAGAAACGCTCAAATGTAGTCAAATTAATGAGGCTCCTTAGATTAATTTGACACATAACATTCATTTAATGTCATCCACATCAAATGACTGAGCGGTTTGCTTTTCAGAGGTTCTGGTCTTTGTCTTTGGACCAGAACCAAAACTTTTCTGCTTCCAATTTTTGTCAGAAATTGGAAGCAAAAAAATATTTTCACTCTTCAAGAGTCCACAGATAAGAGAGTATAGTGATAGTGAAGTAACATTTGTATAGATAGATAGATAGATAGATAGATAGATAGATAGATAGATAGATAGATAGATAGATAGATAGATAGATAGATAGATAGATAGATAGATAGATAGATAGATAGATAGATAGATAGATAGATAGATAGATAGATAGATAGATAGATAGATATGCTGACAACTGATAAGATTCTAAGGATCATATGCCAGCAGATGAAAACATGTTAAGAAAACCCAGACAGAAATCTGTCATCCTAAGCAAATATGGGGTGACACTGAAAAGGAAGCGCCTCCTCTTAAACTTTCAGAGTCAGTCTGTGTCTTTAGCTGGGCTGCAACAACAGGACAAGAAAGAAAAACAAAAAGACAAACAGAACTTGAAGCCAGGAGTTTACATATACTGTGTAAAAGGACTATGTATTTTTTGACTCTATAAGTTTTCTTGATGGATCATAACGCTCAGGGAGGAGACACATTCTGTCTCAGAAATCAATGTGCCAAAGGTCCAAAGATGTGCAGATTGACTCCAGAAAAAAAAAAAGCCTTGTGGAAATGCTGGCCGAGTCTGGTAACAGTTTGTCATTAATATCCATATAAAACAACGACATGGGCTGATACAGTACTTATCAGTATTGAATTCATGGCAGACTTCTTTCTTTTATTTTCTTCATAAGAAACTTAAAAAAAAAAGCCAGATGAACGTTTGCAAACGCACATAAGGACAAAGGCATGTCCTGTAGTCTGATGAAACTAAAACTGAACTGTTTGGCCAAAATGACCACTGCTAAGCTGGTTACAAAGAAGCTTCAGGAAAACAAAGTTTTGGAGTGGTCATCACAAAATTCTGATCCAAAACCTATTTAACTTTTAGGGACAGAACTGAAAAGTTGTGTGTTTGTCTGAGCAAGGTAGCATTAAAAAAAAAATCCTCCCAACTATAAAATAAAAAACAATGCCTGTAAAAATTATTCTGGCATTTAGCAAATTGGAAGCATTCTGGTAATCTTAACTGACCTAAAAATGGGAAATGTTTATTCTGATTTCACATCAGACTGTGCAAAAAAATAAAAATAAATAACATTTAAGAAAATGCATGCAAGTTATTTTTCTATAGAGGATGTAAACTTCTGGTTTCAACTAAATGCATAAGATTTAAGCCAGGAGTACTTTCTTCAGACAAGGATGAGTTAGAAAAAACAAAGTTAAAAACAGAAATAATAAAGTTTTAGTCCATGACTGGAGCCAGCTCAGCACACAGACACTGAGCCAGGCGTACCTTCTGTGGAAAGAAAAACAGAAGCACAACATGAAGCTGACAAATGTAAATGACACACGAGAGATTAGAAGACAAAAAGACAGTGAGAAAAGTGATCCATCAATTTTCCAGTAACAATACTTTTGAGTAAAATATCAGGTTGTGAGGCTGTAGATGGATTGCAAATGCATGTCTGTCCAAAACGTTTCTTTCACACAGTTCTTGTGAGATATTTAGACCCGAGATCTGGGTGTTCCTCAAGACCGTCAGAAAACGCCCTTGTGGGTGCGACTTCCATTAAACAAAGTAACGTTTCAATTTCAGACTTCCAAAGCGTGCTTCAGTCATATCGAGCCTCATCTTAAAAGGAACCAAAAATGTCATTAAAAAAAAGCATATTTCGTGCCAGTGACTTGAATTTAAACACAATTTAAACGTTATTGCCCACCTCAGCAATAATAATGTTGGTCCTGATCCTCCTTTAGTCTCTCTCACTGCTGATACTTACTTTACTGTCTTAAATCTCTTCTGATTTTATGTTCTTTCTCCAGGAACAAGTTGCCAGTGACGGCTTTAAATTGAAACGCGTCGATTTCTGTGACCCACGTTAAAGCTAGTAGCATGAGGTTTGACGTTTTGAAGGTGTGACGCCGACTCGCTCCGTCGTAGTGAGAACTTTGCTTTCCTTCTGAGTGCATGATGGATTTCGATTGTACAAAGACAAGAATTCAATCTAAATCTTTCACAAGCTCTTTGTGGCGACATGAAAGGCATTCTCAATCGAAAGTGTCTTCTGAGTAATTTGGACTTCCTGTTGCTGCTAAGCCATTAGCCATTAGTTGATAGCCTTTTAGTACTTAGTCATGCAACTGACAGAAGAAGACGTCAGTGATATCTTCACTTGTTTCTTCTATGTCAAGATATGGGAGGAGACGTAGGTCTGAGAAAAGAAAATGTGTTTAAAATGTGTTTAAATTGAAGCATTAGGAAAGCTGAAGAGGCAACATAATCCCCTGAAGCTTTGGATTGTGTGAGAAACTGAAGTACTGGTAGTTGTGTTTGGAACGATAAGCTCTGGTTACGGCAACAATTAGCAGAGTGGAGTGATGCTCTGCTTCCCGGAGAGAGATGGGCGATACGTCCCGCAAATAAATAATAGCATATCTTTCAGACACAGACATTTATCAATCGATATATATGGCAAGAAGACAATATATGATCAAAAAGTAGATTATAGAGAGCAAACATATGTCACAATCCTGATAATTTAGATCATTTAATATATGTATTTTTGTGGTGGGTCTCTTCCACCTCTTCTTCTTCGATTTCTTCAACTATGACCTTCATCTTTCTTTTGATTCCTGAATTCATTTGAGGAGTTACACCTGAAATATTTCTCAATTTTTGAAACATAAGGTGCATTTCACGGAGACAATTACGTTCTGTTTTTTTCCCCTTCTATCCATCCATGCAACCAAAACTCATCCTGTCGAAGAGACAAATGTGCAAATTAACCTGTTTCACTTGACATAATGTGCACATAAATGATCACATTAACTATGTAGGTTTTTGCCAATATCTTTGAGGTTACGTTGGTTGCCAACACCGGCGATGTCCAGACGCTTCACGCATCAGCTGTGTGAGAGCTTGGAGGACATCGCTCCAGCAACCTGGAGAAAGAGTCACCAGGTCCACACTGCACCACACACTTCAACAACTCACCAACAGTTGAAAATATGGTACAGCAGAAGAAGACGGAACCGAAAAAATTCCATCTGTCGGGGCTCTGGGACCACGAGGACTTGAAACCCTTCATCTGTTTCGCAACGTTTCCAACTGTTTGGTTGAATGTGCAGGATTTGTTATCTGAAACCAAGAGGAGAAATGCTTAGAGGACATCAAAACCACACAGTGAACCGAGTCCACAAAACAGGTTCATGGAAGGAACTTCACTAAGAACAACTCTTATCCAACCTCCAAACATTATCACCACGATAAAAATGTTTTAAAAAAAATCAGTAACAACGCTCAGACTTACTGGTATTGTCCTGGACCATCTTGACAATGCTCGACAGGAAGTTGTGGTATTCCTGCTCGGGGCTGGAGTTTCTTCCCCCTTCGACCAGCATGAAGACAAACGCGCCCAGCATCGTGTAAGCCACTAAGGCGCAGCACAGCGTCAGGTGAGGAAAGAGTCTCCAGAAGCGCGCGCGGCACCTCGCGGGCCAGGTCTCGTGGAGCTCAGCTGTCTGTCCTGACACGCTCATCCTCCCGTCTGGCTCCCCGTGGCGATCAGCGGGTGGCTCTGCTTCTTCTTCGCGAGTTTTTTTTTTCTTTTTCCCCTCCCTCCCCCCTCCTCCCCGCTGGCTGTTGGGAAAAGTAAGGCGCGCTTTGCCGCCACCTACTGGTACGAATGTGACTCACAATGTTATTTTATTTCGTGCATGGTAATCTTATTTTGTTCATCAACAGTGCTTCCTTAAACGTCTTCCGGGTTGGGATGTGGAGAGTACCGCTTTTACTTAAAAAAAATTACATTAAATTAAATATTATGAATAAATAAATACAATAAAAAATACAACAAAAAAATCTAATAAATAACATTCTATAACTAAATAAATAAAATAAAATAATCTAATAAAGTAAAATAAAATTCTATAAATAAAATTAGATTCTATAAATAAATAAGGTTGCATATTTTGGGCCTCATTTGAATTTGAATGATTTCGTTCCAGTAAATATCACACATAAATTTTGACATAACTGTTTTAAATCTTCTTTTCACAGAAATAGGATGAAGAGATTTATTATTTGAAAAGCTGAACATGTTTTCAACTCGTTCAGTGTTTCGTCAACTTCTGATCACGTCAATTGGATAAATATGTCCTGATTTCATAACTTTGCCCTGCAGACAAAGAAGTTCTCATAACGGATTGGGTTTTGATGAGATTTTGTGGGGACTGGGGATGCACAGGAAATGTTCATACAAACCAAAAGGGGGCTCAGTAAAGAAAAAACTAATAGGGAACCACTGTTCTAAATATATATATTAAAAAATACATTTTGACCACAGCATTTTCATGAATCTTTTAGGTTTAAAATGTGTGTTTAGGAAAACTAATGTGTAATTGTAACCACAAGAAGGAATTATGGCCAATAGAGCTTCAATATATATTTACTCCTATGCGGTTCAATTAACATGATTTTAGATGGATCATCTTTCAGTTTTCAGCTAAGCTATTTGGAAATGATCTGAGTGGTGTTAGAACATAGCTGAATCTCAAAGAGATAAATCATAAACTCTTGATTAAGATCTGTTCATAAAAATACAGGAAAGGCTAATCACAGAAGGAAAATACACACAAACACAGGATGATTTAAATTTTCTCACTTGTAAAGTATCCGGGCATGAGGCATACATGTATAAATCTTTGTGAACCCGGATGAGATCCTGCAAAACATAGAGACTTTACATCATTTCTGTAGACAATGTGAATTGAATCAGTGACAAACTGTTTGCAACTTGAGCAGCATCCAACAAAGAAGACACAGGTGAGTAAGAAAACTAATTAAAAAAAAGAAAGATCCAAGAAGGCAGCATGAGCTTAAACTTCAACTAAATATTTCATCAGTTGTTCTCAGTGTTACAAAGAGACTGGAAGAATCATTGTCTCTGTTATGGACCCTGGGTCTACCCCTGAACAGGAGACATTTTGCTCTGCACTCAATATGGAGATTATTTTTGGTCTTTTAATTATTTGTGCATTAGAGGCCTGCAATACACAACCGAAATACTAATAAGAGTGACTTCTTCCGACGTCTTTGGGTAACAACGACTAAAGAGAGTGTTTTTTTTTTCCTTAACAGTTTTTGACAAAGATAAAATGACTTGTATATGTTTCTCTTTGTAACACGTCATTTCAACAAATTTTTACTGGAAACTGAATAGAATAGAATACACTATATTGATCCCCAACAAGAAATTGCTAATTTGTTGGCAGATTACTCCGTCCAAAGTATGAAGTATTATTAAATAGAAATGTAAACAAAAAAGTGACACAAAGTTTACAAAATATGTGCATAATATGCACTGTAAGTCATTTAAATATGACCCAAATATAAAATGAAGAAAAATTAAAATTATAGGAAAGATGTAGATGGAAATATGTTATTATTAATCACATATTAGAGTGTATTACTTTATCAGACCACAAGAGGGCCTTAGAGGCTTAAAAGTTGCGTTTGCGTCATTTTTGGTTGCTGATCCGATTCCACGGCGCCCACGATGTTCCACCAATAAAGCATAAAACCCTCCTGGCAGCCCGTGAATCTGGGACTGACAGCGTCATTATTTATTGTGTAAATTGGCTTTTTGATTATGGAGTGGGAACAATGGCCAATCAGCAGTGGCAAATCAGAGCATGATTGCATTAAAATCAAACATGATGTTTTTTTTGTTTCTCATTCAGTGTGGATGCAGCACGTCAGGTGGAGGAGTGAGCACAGACTGCAGCAGCCTGTGGCAAAGTAGCAGATTTCTTTTTTTCAGGTGAGTGAAGACTCTAACACGTGTTTACATGATGTCAAGACTGACTGCACAGTGTTCACCGATTTCATGCTTTGTTTGTTGTTGTTTTTTAATTAAAATGACATGAACGGTGCACTTGGAAATCTGTCAAAAAAAGGAAAATGATAAGCTTTTCTCAGGGAGGATGATTATTTGTTTGTTGCACATTTTTAGTCGAAAATCATTTCCAACATTTTGATGAAAATGGTACGACTAGAGATGAGACGAACATGGAAGACACTGGCACTAAAGAGACTGAAAAGACGAGAGGGAATTTTCATTTGAACTTTTAACGCCACTATTCAACTCTTTGTGCGCTGCTGGTGTTCCCCTATGGATAATCTGTGAACCTTGAAAAGCACATTGCCATTATTAAAAAGACATGGACTGAATGACAGAGAACATGTCAGCAAATTACTCATGATCTTTTACAGTAATATTGGTTCTGATTATTATTGCCTGTCAGTTTGCTGTCAAGCAGCAAAGACTGACTGAATAGAAATGTTGTAGATAAATAAAATACTTAAAGAACCTCTCACTGTGTCTGGGTGTACCTGTGTACAATATTAAAAAGAAACAAGACAAACGCCCAGTTTTCATGTCTCTTGGCTGTAGTTCTGAAGCATGAAGAAAGTTAAAGTAAGAAGTGTGATCAGTTGCCGCTCACTGAAACCGCTGTGCTCCTCTGTTGTGTTTTTCAGCAGACTCATTGGAAAGGATGATGGCGGCCTGCTGCAGCGGACGGCCGCTCGTCCAGTCAGGAGCGGGACACTGCTGGACGGCGTCCCACTCCTCTCTGCAGGCTCAGGACGGAAGCCGTGGAGCGAAGAGAAGACTTCACAACCCGCTTGGCTTCACAACCCGCTTGGCTTCCTTAGTGAGACCACCGTTTTCTGTCTGCCATTTTGGAATCGGTCTGGGTCAAGCAGATCGCAGCCTGTCGTGACCGGACTGAATGGAACTGAAATTCAGGGCCGTCGGTGGGTTTGAGTTTATTGTGAGGAACCTGAATGATTTACAGTCAGTTTGATCGTAGACTGATGGTCAAACTGGAATGCATGTCATTGAACTTGAATCCGAACTTGATTGGACTGACTTTCTGTTCCATAAGCACCTTGAGACTTTGAAATTGTCTCGTAGCACAAATAACATTTGATGTGACGTTTGCCAGTGACACACCAACAAACTCAATTCCAGCGAATTCTCACATTGCAAATCGAATCTTTCATCCAAATCAAATGAGATTGATTGTGATAAAAAGCATTATGAATTAGAGAGGCTCATGCGTCTTGTTTGTTTCAATTAAATGTCCATGTTAGAGAAGAAAAAAAAAACATTTCGTTGTAAGTGCAGGTCAAACTTCATGATGAAAGAATATCATGTTGCATCATTTTGAGTAATTTGCTACAATACAGAAGAAAGCTGTGGCTTTTCCAACTAGGTTATGAATCCGTTTTCAAGACCCAGCTGGTACTATAGCATAAATCCATTAGCAACAAAGAGTGACAGAACCGCTGGGGGAATGTGAAACCTTGGTTGGTTGCCTTTGTTGCAGAATTCGCTAGAAAAAAAAAAAGAAGTAATGATTAAAAAACAAAATTGATTACAACCTTTTAAAAGAAACGACAACAACAAGGTTTTGAACCAAGCAACCTTAGAGGCGTAATGGTGTTTGGTGTGAAAAGTGTTTATTCAGCTGTCATTTAAGATTCCCACAAAGCTTATACTTCATTAGGAATCCTAGAGCAGTTATAACCAGAGTGGCTTTTAGATCAGGACAAAGTTATTTAGATCATAGGAGCGAGAGCTTTCACGAGGAGACAGAACATCTAAACTTTTGGGATCATGCAGTACTGCAGAGCCTTTAGAAATGTGTGTCAAGAGCTACTTAGACATTGTACATAAAATGTTTTATCACTTTGGCACAGACACACTATTTTTTTTTAAATACTGAAAGTTGATTAAGCTCCAAGGTCAATTTTTTTTTTGTTTCTTTATAGCCAAAGTGAGATGAAAAGGATGTTTTGATTGGAAGAAACATTATCAGAATGAATCATTTTCTTATATTTAGGACATAATATTTGAGGAGGTGTGAGCGCTTGTGCTTTTTACATAAATGTTGTGCTGGTTTAAAGTAAAAGAAGCCATTCAGAATCGCATTCAGACTCATTTGTAACGGCTGACTGCCGCTCTCTCCGGTTTCTAATTTTTTCTTTAAGTCTAATGAGTTGTCGTGTCTGTGTGTGTGACGGGTGTTTCTCCACGCCGGGGGGCTACGGATGGTGGGGTGAAGTTCCACAAAGCTCAGCTCGGAGAAGTTTCACCGTTGTTGAAGAGCGATGAAGAGACGAGGCTTCTCCTCGTGCCGCGTTTATTCATCTGGATCTGCTGCTGCTCTCTTCTAATGTCTGCAAACAAACTGCTGTGTTTCTTTATTCCTGAAGCAGTTTTCCATTTCAAGCACATGCAGGAAAAAAAGGACTGTGTTTAATGTCCATTCAAATGCAGTGCTGTGAAACTGTTTGGCTGCGTGGCTGCCAGTCCGGCAGCATCTGGTTTTCGATGGTCCTTTTGGTCGATCTTGCCCTGTTTCTGCTGAGCAGAATATTTTGACATGAAATGTTTCTGTTGATTTGAAATCGACATTGTTTTTCCGTTCAAGTGTGTCATGTTACGCAGCATCTCCTTTGCTCTTATATGCAAATATGGTATAAAGTTTAAATACCTGATGTGGGACCAAGCATGAGCATGAAGCATGACCATCTTCACAACGTGTTACACACTGGTGTGTGTTATGTGGTGATTGGACTGCAGCTGCCGTCAAGGCAACTGCATCTGGTTTAATTGTTTTGTTGTTTTTTGGTTGTTGTTTGGTTTAAGGTGGTAGCAGTTACATTTTATTTAATATAAAACGTGAAGTGATGAATGTGAGGTAGTCTTTTAGTACATTTGTGTTGAAGCTCATTGCCTTTTGGGGTGCATTCGAATGTGGGGGGAACTTTCGTTTCGTTCCACGGGCCATGCGTTGCCCGGGGGGAAAGAATTGGGTGGCGCGCTCAGAGCCACGTGGGCCAATCCAGCTGAACAAGCTGATTATAAGAAGTTCAAGTTTCATTCCTCTGGAGTCAATGCGGCTAATGAGGCTCGTTTGTTTTTTATTCGTATCTCTCATTTGTGTAAATGCTTCATTTTTGTGAACTAATTTAGGTTTCAGTCCCCTTGTTAGTTCTGACGGTATTTTTGAGGAGTTTATGAGACGTGTCCACAATGCAAAAAACAAGACGTCAAGTCTGGGTTCGTCTCCGTTTCTTCAACCCGACAACCGGGAGATGTTAGCATTAGCACATAGCACGTGAGTCAGTTCTCCAAATAATTGTGTTAGCATGCATGTTAGCATGCATATTAGCATGCACGTTAGCATGGTGATGCTAAACTCACACCGCGCGTTTAGCATCGTCAAAATGTTATAAAGGTGTAATAATCACTCAAGTGGAAACATTCAAACTTTTGTCATTAATGCAGAAGGCTAAAATGAAAATGAACAATGTAAATAAAAAGGATGGTACTGGATTATAAAACTTCTCTCTTCCCAGTGGAACGAATAACATAAAGGGAAGAGGAAATGAACAACTTCATATTTATAATGGTCCTGAACAGAAGAAGGAAGTGAGGCGGAGCTGGAGGACCGAACCCCTCATAATGGACACAGAGGAACAAAAGAAACAGTCAGGTACGGACAGACACATTTCACACAAATATACAGACACATTTCACACAAATATACAGACACATTTCACACAAATATACAACTATTATTACAGACCCAGTAGTAGTTTGGCTTAGCTGCTCCTGAAATTTTGCCCTACAGTGTCAAATGAACATGCATGTGTGTGAACAAGGCAGATGTGCAACGGTTGTGATAACAGCAGCCACGTCACGCGTGGCGTCGACACGCCAGCGGTGATGGATCCTGCAGCCAGCGGTGATGGATCCTGCAGCCAGTGCAGCCGTTCGTGCTGCACCCCAAAACGCTGCCACCACATCCTGACCTTGGCTGGTTTCTCCACCACAGCTCTGCCTCCATCCGGAGTGGACGCTGACTGAAAACAATCTCCCATTTGCAGCCAAACTGCAACACTGGCATCAGATAAGCCAGTGTATCAGATCTACATGCATGTTTGAATGAAATTCAGTTTCAGGCTCGCTACAAAGTAGAGAAGTTCAGATCATGTCACAGAGATCTAGCAGCTCAGCTTGTCTGATTCAGGGGAGCTTGGAGCCGTTCCCACCCGTCATGTCAAATGCGTTTAGCTCCCGTTTCGTCTCCCAGCGTCTCGCGTTCCTTTTTGTGAACGTCGTTCTCTGAACTTTGCTTCTGTTCTGCACACAATTTAGTCGTGACCTAGAATTTGTGTCGCAATAGCGTTCCGTCATTTGATGTCGAGGTGCGACCTAATCACAGGCTTGATGACGACTAAATTCACAGGAAATGTTTTTCTGAGTGGAGCACATGAACTGTGCTGGAGCCAGAGGGAGGATGTGGGAGCGGATGGACGGCTGTCAAACGACGCCACAGAATTGTGTCCAGAATCCCGTCCGGTTCGCTGCCGATGGTTATTTTTCACATTCCTTTCAAATTGTGTATCTTTTGTAACTCAGGAGAAAGGATTGGTTAGATTTAAAAACAGACACTAAATTGCAGTTCCCTCGGTCATTGCCCTTTCCCCTTCACCAGCAATGATAATGAAGACATTTCCTGTTATTATCCTGCTATATGGCACCAAAACTTTCTACGTCTTACAGACACAGACCAGGCTGTGTTATTTTTAACACTGCAACTGTTTTATTAATGCTGGAGTTTTACTGTTTCCTATTTTTGTCTCATCTTTACACAACCCGACTCTGAAAAAATAACCAGCCCTTCAAATTGCTTTTTCTCTTTCACTTAGCTTAATTATTTTAAATAAATAAATAAAAACAGTTTGTGCTCTTTACTTTTTTCCAGTTCTGTCATTTTAAAATACTTGTAGTTTTGACTACGCTCCTGAAGGACAAAAATGTGTCTTGTATCTGATTTTAGTTTCAGTTCATTTAACGGCGACCCGAAGAGACTCCCACAAAGGCAAAACTATAAAGTTATGCTGATGAAGAATCTTTGCAGCAAACGTGGATGTGCAGTTACAGGATGAGAATTAGAGACGTCTCCCCCCCACAAGACTCTGGTGGTGGAGTGGAGGTTGAAGGAAGCAATGAAAGAAGCCTGGTGGAGCTGGGAGGATGAGGGTGGAGAAGGGGCAGAGGCCAGCAGATGGAGCCCTGGGTGGAGGGCCTTATCAGAAGAGGCTGGCATAACTTTACACCATCAACACGCAGATTGAGTCTCCATCACCAGAGATGGTCTCGCCCTCGTCGGCTTGTCTGTTTTTTTTTACGACGCCTTCTGAAAGGACGGAACAAAACCGAACGTCTTCCTGTGCTTACAGCTTTTAAGTGGGAACAAAAATAGCAAAAGTGGGAAGAGTTCAACTTTCATCATCAGCAGGACTTTTAATTTCCTGGTTTTACTGTATCGTGCTGAAACCAATTGAAAATGCACTTTTTTTTGTGGTTCAATTCAGTTTAAACCGCCACCTCAACGCACTTCCAAAAAAAGTCATTTAAATTCAATCACGTTTTCTATCATTTGACAAAACAACACACTGAGTCCAGCTCATTAATTACATTTGTTTAAAAAAACTTTTCTATCCAAGAAAACCCGTCAGATTGTACATTTTGCGAGTCAAACCCTGTTTGTGTGTCGCCCTTCTGACACACAGGTTCCTTTAGGAACGTCATTCCCTTCATCACCTACTTTTTAACCACGACAGCTTCAAGCCCCAGCAGTAATAATAGTCGATGTTAAACAGAGCGAAGTGCAGCTTTGGAGTCGAGCTCGCTCTGTTTCCAAACACTCCCTGATGCTCCACCTGGGAGGGGGAAAAAAAAAGAAAGAAAGAAAAGAAATGATCTGAGTGTTTTGTCACATGTTGGTTTTAACGGTGCAAAAGTAGAGCATAAAAGAAAAAAAAAGACAAAAAAAAACATGTTGATTGAATTTTTTTTTCCAGTGATGACTTTTGTTCCCTTTCCCCCGCAGTCTTGTTGCGCGCCGCGGCGGCCAGCGGGGACGAAACTGTAGCAGGGACACAAAGGAGCCGCTCAAATTACACCTGCGACAATTACTGCTGCTGTCGGCGGGACAAAGAAGTGTCATTTAAAACTACTCACAGAAAATGTACAGGAAAAAAAAAATCAATTACTACTAAAGCCTTGTTGCAGGTTTTAAGCCGACTGCTATGTCAACAGCAGATTAGTACAATAGCGCCGAGATGTTTTCTGTCTAAAAATAAGCTAAATTACACATAATGATGTAAATACAAATGACCTATAAAGACGTACCACTGCTCTCCCGAAATGACTTTTATTCCATGTTACTGTATGCTGATTGGGTTCTGACTCGCGCCTTTTGTTCAGTCATAATTAGCGCGTTAGAAGAACGTTGAATTATTTCAGAATATGAGCCGGTGCTGCCACTGCTGCTTCTGCAAGCTTTGCAAAACACAACAAGTATAAATCAAGCTTTATCACAAGGTTAAATTAAGATTTAAGACTACAATTGCTCATATGCCTGATAGATTCAGGCTTAAAGTATTCATTAAAAAAAAAAAAAGTCAAAATATTTCTTTTTGACTAGGAGCAAAAGCTCAGAGACTCAGAAGCTCAGTACCAAAGATTAACTGTCAGACAAAAAAAGCCATTTATTTTCAAAATGTTTCTATTCCTATTATCTTTTGAGAGAAACCTGTCAAATCTCCTATCAGAAGCAAACTTCTTGGTTGAATTAAAATAATCTTTAATATAAATAACACAGTCTTGTGAATAATTATTGGGCCTAAAAATTCCTTTTGATGAAAAACTTTATAAAGCACGTTTGTATATACTCTCCTGAATAGACAGCCATGTTGAGCATGTCCAGAGTGTCAGTTCATTATGGACAGACCTGAATGTCCCCACTGCTGGGACACTAAAGGATGTTTAAATTCTGTTCTTAAAGAAAACTACTGTACATTTTTTTTCCAAATATCCAATAGTGATTGCAGGGTTAATTTTTTTTGTCTTTTGTACAAAAGTTGCAGTGAAATTATTTCCGTGCGCCCTGGCCCTTCCTGTTCAGCGAAGCCATCCACCACGGCAGCACCAAAATGCTGCCACTCGTCATTAAATCCCTGCTACAGCCAGCTTGTGCTTATTATTTTGGCCATTAGCTGAGAGGATTATCCGAGAACCCTCAGAGCCGAATCACAATGGAGTGGTCACTGGCCTGAGATCAGCAGCGCTAACCAACACAAACAATAATTAATCCCAATTACGAGGTGAGCTGGTAAAAGTGTTCAGAATTTCATGCTAAAGTGCAAACTTCAAGTGCCTCGGTGGATCTGTGCTTGTTGGCAAATGCTACTTCCGCCGCAGCATTAGTGTCTGTATGCTATATTTTATTTTTAAGGCGACGGAGACGTTGAGCTAAAGAAAAGCTGGGTACAAAAAAACCCAAACAAACAAAAAACAACAAACAAACAAAAAGCGTTCACACATTTTGAGCTCATCTGTCTGTGTACACCTCGGCCTCCCCCTCAGCCCCACCGCTCCCACCCACCGCAGAGCAAATCCAGCGCTCTATTTAGTGGGTTCAAGAACAGCTTGCTCTTTCACTGTGGAACATAATCAGCACATTTGTAAACGTAAAGCAGGGCTTTGAATAAAACCATTCATCTTGAGTTACCGTGTTGTTATTCACACACCGAGGCTTTCCAAGGCCTACACTCTTCACAGCAGCCCACCTTGTATTAGAAAATCCCAAACGGCTTTGCCAAAAGGAAGTGCCTAGTAGCCCTGGGTTCTATTTAAAAGGCCTCTAAAAGCCAACTTGGAGCAAACGGGGGTAAAAACTAACAGATTTAAAAGATATTTCTTTCTCTAAGGAACAAATGGAGCACGTTCTGTCGGCCATCATAGCATGGAAGTCCATGCTGGATGATTGCGCACTAAACGTTCCTTAGTTTTCATAAAAGAAGTTTGGAGATTCCAAAGAGGACGCGAACACGCGTCGCCGCCCAGCCGAGCTTCTGCTCTCATTCGCAATCCAAGATCTCCTGGTCCAATCTGTCGCTTCTGAACTAATAATATGTTAGTTAATTTTGGGAAAGTTTCATTGCAGTAAAAGACGAACACGGCTGATTGTGCCAGGAATCCGACCTAGTCTCTGTGAGCAGGATTTGTTGCTCATGCGGCATCAGGTAGATATTCATCCATAACCGATGGTGAAGACTATACTCCCATAACCACAGGGCATTTTGTCAATGTGATGTTTTTTTATTGTTTTGAGACCGCTAGTGGCTGAAATTGCCGACTGTGTTTAAATGACTGGCACAATCACAGCAGCGGAGTCGGAATTATAAAGATGTTGGAATCTCAGCGGGTCTTGTGACAAAAGTAATCATTTCCTCTGCAGAAATAAGCGAGAATTTCACGCCATTATTCAGCTGAGCCGTGTCTGAGCGAATTAGGGGGAGATCCAAATATTTTGGTGGAACAATAAATATATTCAGAAAATACTGCTTATGCCCAATTTAAAAGTAATGAAGAACGACAACCGTTTTATATTCCGCCGTGGAAGCTTGGGTTAGCATGATG